CTGGGTTCCCAGTGTGGTTGAGTAGTGACTGGAGGTGGGTTCGGATCAGCAAATGGAGGAGGGAATGTTGGTGGAAAGTTGCCGCCATAAACCTGGGGTGCTTGACCGGGGATAGTAGGCGGGTAGTACGCTGGAAAACCCAAATTCCAGTGTTAATGATGAAGGCAAATACACAAGCTAATCTACATCATGAGATTCTGTAACAGGCAAATCTACATCACTGACAATGTGTGACAGAAAAATCTATAAAATGATAATCTGTGATCCAAACAAATCTATATCACTGGCAATCTGTGATAGGCAAATCTACATAACTGACACACTGTGACAGGCGAATCTACATCACTGGCTAACTGTGACAGGCAAATCTACATTAACGGCAATCTGTGGCATAGGCTAAATCTACATAACTGACAATCTATGATGGGCTAAACTACATAACTGACAATCTATGATGGGCTACACTACATAACTGACAATTTATGACAGGCTAAACTACATAACTGACAATCTATGATGGGCTAAACTACATAACTGACAATCTATGACAGGCTAAACTATATAACTGACAATCTATGACGGGCTAAACTACATAACTGACAATCTATGATGGGCTAAACTACAGAACTGACAATCTATGATGGGCTAAACTACAAAACTGACAATCTATGATGGGCTAAACTACATAACTGACAATCTATGATGGGCTAAACTACATAACTGACAATCTATGATGGGCTAAACTACATAACTGACAATGTGACAGGCACATCTTGAATACTAGCAATAAAATCTGAGATCTACAGAAATGACAATGGGTGACAGCAAGAAATACAACCACTGATTGTGCCCCAAGCAAATCCAACAAACCAGATCAGGCTCAGACACACTGAAGCAGTAACAAAACCTGGGCGATACTTACAATCAAAGTGAGGCATGGCTGTCCCAAACTGTGGGTGAAGGGGCATCCCTGAAACAGAGAGGAAATCAGTAATGCTCAAGATACACTATCTTGTCTCACTCTGAGCTTCTCTTGGAAGAGGACAATATCTGCCAGTCAATGACTGCCAGAAGGACTAAAAAAACTGCATCTATCATGTGAAGAAACTGGTCTTCTGAACCAGTAGCAAAGTGATACCTTTACAGGGACGACTGCACAAGTCTCTTTACCCTCTCAAACAAAGGTGCCCAAGCAAGGAAATGCAGATCTTTTTTTTTTTTTTTTTTCATCGAACACCGGCTGTGAATTCCAGTGGAAGGTCAGGTAATCGTCCGCTTGGACTTTTGGCTTTCACCTGGACCTGATTTTTGCGTGTACAACCGTTTTTCATTTCCCTGCCTCATGGGCAGCTGTACGCCGACTTCGAAGGAAAATGCAGATCTGTGGAGAGACATTCTTGGTTGTCACCAGGTCAAGGCTGGGGCTAGGTGTACGATGTCACTAGTTCAAGGCTGGGGCTAGGTGTAGGATGTCACTAGGTCAAGGCTGGGGCTAGGTGTAGGATGTCACCAGGTCAAGGCTGGGGCTAGGTATAGGATGTCACCAGATCAAGGCTGGGGCTAGGTATAGGATGTCACTAGGTCAAGGCTGGGGCTAGGTATAGGATGTCACCAGATCAAGGCTGGGGCTAGGTGTAGGATGTCACTAGGTCAAGGCTGGGGCTAGGTATAGGATGTCACCAGATCAAGGCTGGGGCTAGGTGTAGGATGTCACTTGGTCAAGGTTGGGAATAGGTGTAGGATGTCACTTGGTCAAGGCTGGGGCTAGGTGTAGGATGTCACTTGGTCAAGGCTGAGAATAGGTGTAGGATGTCACTTGGTCAAGGCTGGGAATAGGTGTAGGATGTCACTTGGTCAAGGCTGGGGCTAGCTGCAGGATGTCACTAGGTCAAGGCTGGGGCTAGCTGCAGGATGTCACTAGGTCAAGGCTGGGGCTAGGATGTCACTAGGTCAAGGCTGGGGCTAGCTGTAGGATGTCACTTGGTCAAGGCTGGGACTAGGTGTAGGATGTCACTTGGTCAAGGCTGGGGCTAGGTGTAGGATGTCACCAGGTCAAGGCTGGGACTAGGTGTAGGATGTCACTAGGTATTGGCTGGGGCTAGGTCTAGGATGTCACTAGGTCATGGCTGGGTCTAGGTCTTGGATGTCCCTAGGTCATGGCTGGGACTAGGATGTCACTAGGTCAGGGCTGGGCCTAGGAAGTCACTAGGTCAGGGCTGGGGTAAGGTGTAGGATGTCATTAGGTCATGGCTGGGGGTAGAAGTAGGATGTCACTAGGTCATGGCTAGGGTTAGGTCTAGGATGTCACTAGGTCATGGATAGGGTTAGGTTTAAGGTGTCACCAGGTCATGGCTGGGGCTAGGGGTAGGATGTCACTAGGTCATAGCTGGGGTTAGGTCTAGGATGTCACTAGGTCAAGGCTGGGGCTAGAATGTCACCAGGTCATGTATGGGGTTAGGGTGTCATTAGGTCATGGCTGGGTCTAGGTCTATGACACCAGGTCAGGGCTCGGGTCAGGTCTATAATGTCACCAGGTCGTGGCTGGATATCCCTAGGTTATGGCTGGGGCTAGGTCTAGGATTTCACAAGGTCATGGCTAGGTCTAGGATGTCACTAGGTCATGGCTTGGGCTAGGGATAGGATGCCACCAAGTCATGGTTGGGGTTAGGTCTAGGATGTCACTAGGTCATGGCTGGGGTTAGGTCTAGGATGTCACTAGGTCACAGCTGGGGTTAGGTCTATGATGTCACTAGGTCACGGCCGGATCTAGGATGTCACTAGGTCACGGCTATAAGAGACACAGAGAGAAAGAGATCTAACAGATGTCAGAGATACCACAACATAACAAATGTGAGAGACACAGAGAGATCTAACAGATGTCAGAGATACCACAACATAACAAATGTGAGAGACACAGAGAGATCTAAACAGATGTCAGAGATACCACAACATAACAAATGTGAGAGACACAGAGAGATCTAACAGATGTCAGAGATACCACAACATAACAAATGTGAGAGACACAGAGAGATCTAACAGATGTCAGAGATACCACAACATAACAAATGTGAGAGACACAGAGAGATCTAACAGATGTCAGAGATACCACAACATAACAAATGTGAGAGACACAGAGAGATCTAACAGATGTCAGAGATACCACAACATAACAAATGTGAGAGACACAGAGAGATCTAACAGATGTCAGAGATACCACAACATAACAAATGTGAGAGACACAGAGAGATCTAACAGATGTCAGAGATACCACAACATAACAAATGTGAGAGACACAGAGAGATCTAACAGATGTCAGAGATACCACAACATAACAAATGTGAGAGACACAGAGAGATCTAACAGATGTCAGAGATACCACAACATAACAAATGTGAGGGACACAGAGAGATCTAACAGATGTCAGAGATACCACAACATAACAAATGTGAGAGACACAGAGAGATCTAACAGATGTCAGAGATAAATAAGCAATGATGCAAAGAACTACAGATAGCAGTAAGAGATGAACTGAGAGAGGACACTGAGAAGAAAGTAGGACACTGAGGGATGGACTAAAGGGATGACAATGACAGAAAGGCTCATTGATGTAACAGACTGCACCAAGATTACAAACGTTCATTGTTCATTTCAAGATCCTTCTCATTGCACATGTGCTTATGCTGACGACTCCTGTTCTGTGTTGGTTGATGTAGTGACTGTAAGGTTTCGCATGGTTTTTACAAACGTTATAAACACAAGAAATGACCACCTGTAACAGGAGAGCTCACCTGGTGGGGGTAAGTTTGTGTTGGGCATGGAGGGTGGCGGCTGGTTGTAGGTCACAGGTATGGCTCTGTTGCTGCGGACAGACATCAAACACTACAGGTGAGAATATATCAGTACCAAGTGTCACAATGACATCAAAGGTGTCACAATGACATCAAAGGTGTCACAACCTCATCAAAGGCCTCAATACATCACATGTGTCACATCAGAGGTGTCAAAACAACATCAATGGTGTCACAACATCCCAGGTTTTATAACAGTACAATAGTCACAACAACAACACAGTCGTCACATCATCATCACAGGTGCCACAACAACATCAAAGGTGTCACAACATCATAGGTGACACAAATTGACTATCCCTGCCACACACACACACACATACACACACATACGCACATACACACACATACGCACAGGTTTGTAGTGAATAATGACTTCCCCTTCCACACAAGTTACTAGCCACAGTGAATAATGACTCACCCTTCCACACACAAGTTACTAGCCAAAGTGAATAATGACTCACCCTTCCACACACAAGTTACTAACCACAGTGAATAATGACTCACCCTTCCACACACATATACACAAGCTTGCAAATGTACCCATAGTGAATAACAACTACCCCTTCCTCATATACACACACTAGGTGTAGCCAAAGTGAAAAATGGCTAACTCTTTCACACACACACACACACACACACAAGCTTGTAGCCAAAGTGAATAATGGCTACCCCTTCCACACACACACAAGCTTGTAGCCAAACTGAATAATGGCTACCCCTTAAACATACACACACACACACATACATATATAAGCTTGTAACCAAAATTAATCATGGCTACCCCTTAAACACACACACACACACATACATACATAAGCTTGTAGCCAAACTGAATAATGGCTACCCCTTAAACACACACACACACATACATAAGCTTGTAGCCAAAATGAATCATGGCTACCCCTTAAACACACACACACACACACACACATACATAAGCTTGTAGCCAAAATGAATCATGGCTACCCCTTAAACACACACACACACACACACACATACATAAGCTTGTAGCCAAAATGAATCATGGCTACCCCTTCCACATACTGTCTGTGGCTTAGGCGCTGCCTACACGCTTCTTATGTCGGTTTTTTATCACAACTGCGGCCCTTGCGCTGGTTTTGACAGAGGTGTCGAGAAGATGAACATCCAGAAAGCAATGGCAAACTACTGGACGTAAATTTGTCTAAACTAACCACAACAGCCAAAAAAATGCTGGGGTTAGTTCTGCAATATCCTGTAAAGGATACACAACTAACTGTTTTAACTTCCATACATACATACATACACACAAGCTTCAAGCCAAAAGTGAATAAAGACTACTCCCTCCCTCCCCCCTCCCCCCCCACCCCAACCAGGTGTGAGGGGCTGTAGATTTGTTGATCCAGTTTGTGGGGTGGTGGATCGGGCCAGGGGGGATGGTAACAGCCTCAGATGCACTTTTGGCAATGACTTAACACATGGCAACAGCGGAGATGATGACCATGTAGAAAAAGTAAGAATAAAAATTGCCTTGCTATATCCACCAGTAAGGAATATAAAAGCCGCTGCAACATTCAAAGAATGTTCCTGCTGAGGATCAGAAGGCTACAGTTGTGTTCGCTCCATAGTGAAGCTTCTACAACATACACGGTAGTGTTGAAGATAAAGATCGCTCCATAGTGAAGTTTCTACAACATACACGGTAGTGTTGAAGATAAAGATCGCTCCATAGTGAAGTTTCTACAACATACACGGTAGTGTTGAAGATAAAGATCGCTCCATAGTGAACTTTCTACAACATACACGGTAGTGTTGAAGATAAAGATCGCTCCATAGTGAAGTTTCTACAACATACACGGTAGTGTTGAAGATAAAGATCGCTCCATAGTGAAGTTTCTACAACATACACGGTAGTGTTGAAGATAAAGATCGCTCCATAGTGAAGTTTCTACAACATACACGGTAGTGTTGAAGATAAAGATCGCTCCATAGTGAAGTTTCTACAACATACACGGTAGTGTTGAAGATAAAGATCGCTCCATAGTGAAGTTTCTACAACATACACGGTAGTGTTGAAGATAAAGATCGCTCCATAGTGAAGTTTCTACAACATACACGGTAGTGTTGAAGATAAAGATCGCTCCATAGTGAAGTTTCTACAACATACACGGTAGTGTTGAAGATAAAGATCGCTCCATAGTGAAGTTTCTACAACATACATGGTAGTGTTGAAGATAAAGATCGCTCCATAGTGAAGTTTCTACAACACACACGGTAGTGTTGAAGATAAAGATCGCTCCATAGTGAAGTTTCTACAACACACACGGTAGTGTTGAAGATAAAGATCGCTCCATAGTGAAGTTTCTACAACGCACACGGTAGTGTTGAAGATAAAGTTCGCTCCATAGTGAAGTTTCTACAACATACATGGTAGTGTTGAAGATAAAGATCGCTCCATAGTGAAGTTTCTACAACATACACGGTAGTGTTGAAGATAAAGATAGGGTAGACTTAGTAGAAGATATATTTTCTTTAACTATCCCTACTGAAGTCAGACAAGTGCATCTAACTTGTTGGGGCCACCTACTTTCCCTACTGAAGTCAGACAAGTGCATCTAACTTGTTGGGGCCACCTACTTTCCCTACTGAAGTCAGACAAGTGCGTCTAACTTGTTGGGGCCACCTACTTTCCCTAAGGTGAATATATCTTGGTGTACGAAATATAGCCTGCATCACCGACTCCTTTCTTGCGTTTGGAGGATAGCAAAGTATACACCACAGGGGAAAGGATTAGCGGAAATCTTGCTTAGCACAGTGGTAATGTTGACGTGGAGTGGGTAGCAGCAAAAGGGTTAACACCACACACACAGAAGTTTGTTGCCGGTTCAACACACACACAAACACAAGACTAGCCAATACAACACACACACAAGGTTGTAGCCAATTCAACACACACATACAAGATGTAGCCAATTCAACACACACAAGATTGCTGCCATTTCAACACACACACACAATATTGTAGCCAATAACACACACACACACACAGACACACATATCCACAGCACACACACATTCACACCCTCACACACATGTACGCACACACACATACACCACACACACATCCACATACCTGCATACACAAACACACACATATCTACATACAAGCTGGCAGCCACCGGAATAGGCTGCTCCAGGCTGTCATCTTTTCTCCTACTCATGCTGCCACCAATCACCCCGATGGTGATGATGTTGTTGTTGCTGTTGCTAGGAGTGTTGTTGCTGCTGGTGTTGATGCTGTTATTGTTGATGCTGTTATTGTTGATGCTGTTGTTGATGTTGTTGATGCTGTTGAGGAGGCTAATGGCAGAAGTCAGGGACACTGGTGGCGGTAGCAGTCCAGGTTTCTCTTTATGATGAAAACAGGACAATCAAATTAGAAATGTCAACAGACAGAAACAATCAGAGTACTACCTAAGTCTTTTGAGAATCATCTTGTCTGTCCAATGGATTCTCTCTCTCCTAAAGGCCTTATTGTCCAACACACATTATATTTTAGAAAAAGTTTACAGTTACCTTAAATACTACTAACCAGCTACCTAAAATGCCCACTAACCAGTTACCTCAAATTCCTGCTAACCAGTTACCACAAATGTCCACTAACAGTTACCACAAATGTCCACTAACAGTTACCACAAATGTCCACTAACAGTTACCACAAATGTCCACTAACAGTTACCACAAATGTCCACTAACAGTTACCACAAATGTCCACTAACAGTTACCACAAATGCCCACTAACAGTTACCACAAATGCCCACTAACAGTTACCACAAATACCCACTAACAGTTACCACAAATGCCCACTAACAGTTACCACAAATGTCCACTAACAGTTACCACAAATGCCCACTAACAGTTACCACAAATGCCCACTAACAGTTACCACAAATGCCCACTAACAGTTACCACAAATGCCCACTAACAGTTACCACAAATGTCCACTAACAGTTACCACAAATACCCACTAACAGTTACCACAAATGCCCACTAACAGTTACCGCAAATGTCCACTAACAGTTACCACAAATGCCCACTAACAGTTACCGCAAATGTCCACTAACAGTTACCACAAATGCCCACTAACAGTTACCACAAATGTCCACTAACAGTTACCACAAATGTCCACGAACAGTTACCACAAATACCCACTAACAGTTACCACAAATGCCCACTAACAGTTACCACAAATACCCACTAACAGTTACCACAAATGCCCACTAACAGTTACCACAAATGTCCACTAACAGTTACCAATAATGTCCACTAACAGTTACCACAAATGCCCACTAACAGTTACCACAAATGCCCACTAACAGTTACCACAAATGTCCACTAACAGTTACCACAAATGTCCACTAACAGTTACCACAAATACCCACTAACAGTTACCACAAATACCCACTAACAGTTACCACAAATACCCACTAACAGTTACCACAAATGCCCACTAACAGTTACCACAAATGCCCACTAACAGTTACCACAAATGCTCACTAGCAGTTACCACAAATGCCCACTAACCAGTTACCACAAATGCCCACTAACCAGTTACCACAAATACCCACTAACAGTTACCACAAATACCCACTAACAGTTACCACAAATACCCACTAACAGTTACCACAAATGCCCACTAGCAGTTACCACAAATGCCCACTAACCAGTTACCACAAATGCCCACTAACCAGTTACCACAAATGCCCACTAACAGTTACCACAAATGCCCACTAACCAGTTACCACAAATGTCCACTAACAGTTACCACAAATGCCCACTAACAGTTACCACAAATACCCACTAACAGTTACCACAAATGTCCACTAACAGTTACCACAAATGTCCACTAACAGTTACCACAAATGCCCACTAACAGTTACCACAAATGTCCACTAACAGTTACCACAAATGTCCACTAACCAGTTACCGCAAATGCCCACTAACAGTTACCACAAATGCCCACTAACCA